TTTAAAGGGATATAAGTGGACGGTTGAGTAGTATAGGAGTTTAGATAGTAAACCCTTCTAGAAGCGCCACAGTTACTAACCGACTTGGGTACGAGGATTAAAGGATTATAGTTTAACTACTAAAGAATTCTTTCTCGCTACCTATATTACTATTTTGACCTGTCTAAAGAATCTTACTAGTGAAACTTTAACTTGAGAGTAATTTAGGAATTTCCGGGGCTTGCAATTACTGCCTATTTATTACGAAGTTAATACTATTAAGCTACTTATAATACCTCTCCTGTAAGGGTACCTGAAGTTAATGGAGTATTCTTATTAATTATATTAATTATTATCCTTAGCCTAGGTAGATTATATAAATAACTGCTTATACCCATAAATCAAATATTAAAAACCACTATTATCTCAAGTCTCTTATAAAGGGAAAAGTAAAGAAATCCCACTTAGTAAGGACTCTAGCTAAATTCCATTAACCCCTCAAAGGAAAAACGGTATAAGGTAAATCTAACCACTAAACCAAGAACATAGCCCTAATAACCGCTGCCACAGTAATAACGAACCAAGTATTAAAAGTAGTCTTAACAGGAATAGTACCGCTCGTTTGCTTGTAAGATGGCGAGGGGGTGGCTGCCGGGGTACTGGGGGCCTTAGCTGGTATGGTAACGGCCGGGATAATCTGTGGTACTGGGGTTGTGCTCGCTTTTACGGAGCTGGAAGATGTGACGGCCTTGGCTGCTGGTGCAGGAGTACTTGTGGTCTTGGTACTGGAGGACGTCGACTTGCTGGAGGTAGATGGCTTTATACTCGAGGATGATTTCATACTCGATAATGATTTTATACTCGAGGATGACTTAATACTTAATGATGACTTTATACTAGACGAGGTTGGATGCGATGAAGTGGATGAGTGAGTCGAGGATGACGAGTGCGTGGATGACGTTGGATGGGATGAAGTGGATGAATGGGTAGACGAGGATGAGTAGCTAGAAGAAGAGGAATGAGTCGAAGAGGACGAAGAGGACGAATGTGTTGAAGATGAGGAGTGGGTTGAAGATGACGAGTATGACGTTGGATGGGATGAAGTGGATGAATGGGTAGACGAGGATGAGTGGCTAGAAGAAGAGGAATGAGTCGAAGAGGACGAATGTATTAAAGATGAGGAGTGGGTTAAAGATAATGAGTATGACGAATGAGTTATGCTAGAAGAGTGTATAGACGACGACGGATGGGTAGAAGAAGAGAAGTGCGTTGACGAGGAAGTTTGCGGCCAGCGAGCTATTACTTGTGAGTACCAAATCCTTATAAAAAGTAAAGAATATGAACTCTTACCTTGCAGCACCTACGGAGCTACCTCTCTATAATAACTCTTTCCGTCTCTTTTCTTAATATTAGTATCGCAAGGTAGTATTAGACTATCCTGTGGTTTGCGGGGAAGTAGAGACGACATATAGAAAGCAGCTATAACGAGCATAGTAAAGATCGAGCGAAATAGTATCTTCGGAAATTAACTATAGTCCTTAATATTTGATTCTATTAAACGATAGACAGATCTATAACACGTTAATTTCTGCAGGAGGTCTCCCGGGTCTTTAAGTATAGTAGCTTCTACTATATTAGATATTTATACCGTAGTATTTCCCTACTTTATAGGTATTTCTAATAGTAATAGTATGCCTGGACTGCACGTTTTACTACTATTATAGTAGCCTCTATATAGTTTCTGCGAAAGCTATTATATTGCGCGATTCTGGTAGAGAATTTCCATTTAACCCCTCTAATTCAGATGCAAAAAGTAGCTAAAGGAGGCTTTTTACCCTACTTAAAGCGAAAAGAGGGGTTCGAGTACCTGTATTTACTGCAAAAATTACCTTTATACCTTTATATCTTTTAAGAAATCCAGTACCATATATACTAATATAACGTGCTCTAGGATTAGCAAGCTATAAGTAAATGTACTTCGAGAAAAATCAAGTTCCTCTCGTAAAAGAAATTAATGCCCTCTTTATTATTATAACTATGGGATACTATGGTATTTCCCTTCCGGACTAGCCGGACGGGTTATTCGGGCTTCCTAGATAAGAGAACCATTATATTATGATATAGAAACCTCTAAAAGCGACGGGAATAAATTAATAAGGTATAGAGAAAAATCTACTACCTTTTCCCTTTATAAGAACTCAATAATTAGCTATTACGAATATTAGCCCTATAATCAAAAATCGTAGTATGGCTCAATTATATATAATTTAGTAATAATAGCATATTATATTCCTTTATTCTTATTACCTATATTTTACTGGCCTTAAAGCTATAACTAGCCATGAGCTTGCTATACTACCCTAATCCTGTTATTTGGCTTATATAAACGGAAACCTTTAATCTTAAAAGGGTATATATAGAGACTTTGGATACATATTTGTATTTTCTGGAAACGCCGGATTTATATAGTAAAATATTAGAATATATAATATATGGCTATAATAATAAAATAAACTATTCTTTCCTCGGAATTTTCTGTAACTAGTTCTTCCCGAATCTCGGTAAATCTTAATAGTTAAAAGCTTTTTGCGGTCCGATTCTCTTAGCTTAGAGTAATTACCTTATACTATGGCCCTGAGCTCTATAGAAGGCGTTTAATTTCTTTGAGGCTAATCCGTCTTAAGTCATATAGCTTTTCGTAAAAGCAGGTAGTAAAGCCATATAGCTTAAGCTTTATTTTCTTTAGAAGAAGAAGATCTTCCATTCTCTGTTTCCTGCTTAAATTAGTTAAAAACTCGAGTACGAGAAAGCCATATATAAAGATATATTCTTACCTTCTTCTCTTAAAGCTCTTTGACTAAGTAAAGTAAATAATCTACTCTATCTGGGGAATTATTAGTTACAAAATAACTTTTTATAATATACTATACGGAATAATGGGCCGGGTCGCTTGTAAAAGATAGCTTATTAGAATCCCTATTCTCTCTAGATAAGTACTAATAAGGAATAGTATGTGGGAAATATTTCCTGAATTTCTTTAATAAAATAGTAAAGACATAATTATCCCCGGTCTTATCTATAATACTCTTCTACTATATTCTACCTTAAGTACAGGTAATATAGAGATTTGCTCCGTAGTATAGGAATGCCTTAAAGACGTTTTCGACTTTATAGTACTCTTTCTTAGACCAGGATTACTTCTTTATATTAATATATAGTACGTATATAATATATAGCTAGTATTACTAAATCGAGGGTTCGCGAAAGGCATTATTAGGGTTTGTATTATACTTGAGTAATATAATAATAAAATAGTAGGCATAACTTATATTAGTATGTGACCTTAAGAGAAAGGCGTAAATAAGTAAAGGGTTCCCTAAATAATCCGAATAATTATAGAGTAAAGATGGGTCTTTAGTAAGCTTTGCTTCTATATAGGGTCCGAGACCGGCCATTATGGCTACTAATATGAAATTTGAACTTCTATTTATAATAAATTTATATCTTATTATACCCGCCTAATAAACCTATAGTAGCTTAAGTATTATCTCCCGATACTTCACGCCTTACTAAAGCTCTATGGCGGCTTAGTCAAATTCATTAAATAGTATATTTATAATACTACTATCTATATAATTATTTAAGAAAATAAAGCGAGCCTAATTTAATATCTATTACTAAATAGTTCAAATATATATTAATTCATCTATATTTAAATATCGAGAATAGTATTTCAAGCCTAAGATATGACTCATTAGCAGAGTTATATGAGAGTTCTAGCTCACTAGTAGAATAGTAATTATTTCAGATACTTATAGCTCCTTAATAAAATCTGGAATAGTTAAGTGAATATAGTTTAGCCTATAATACCGAGAAGTTAGTATCTGCCTACTCATAATATCTCGAGGGCAAATTAGATAATATAAGCTAATTTAGAGATAATATATTAGGTACGTAATAAAGCAAGATTATTTCGGGGTCTGGAACTAATACTTATAGGAACCCGATTATTCTTACTATACCGAGGACTCATAACTCTCTTCTGGCCCTATTCCTGTAATCTTAACTAGACCTCCGTATTAGCTTTATAGAATTGACTCAAGCTCTAAGACTATTTTATCGAAATTGCGTTTCCGTAGGATCTTGCCATACTAGTTATTATTGAATTCTTCTAAGCTTGGTATATATAATCTTATTAGGTTAATATCCTATATACTGCTTTTCGGGAAAGCTCCGCTATCGAGACTCTTTATTAACTCTATATCTGCCTAGAGAATATAATAGACGAGCTCTATATCTCGAGGCTTATCTAGAGAAAAAGATTAAAGGATTAGAAATAGCTTTAAGGCTTCTTTCTTATATAAAGGGTTAATAGATCGGACCATATGGTAATATAGATCTTGGAGATCTCTAGGGATAACCTCGAGCCTCTATTATAGAATTGCAATATTATTCCTATTACTAAGTCCCTTTAGTAGAGACTTAATAACTAATATTACCTATAAGAATATACTATCCGCCTATTTAGTAATACTCTAAATAAGCTAGGTACTATTAACGGGGTTCTTATTTATTATATTTACTATCTTGTGGTTATTAGAAAGCGTTATCTCTATATATTATTAGATATTCTCAAAAGTCAAATCTTATAATTTCAGTTATAGTCTATTATAGAAAATGTCTTTGAAAATTGGCCAAGATTTGCTCAATACGCAAAACTTGACGTAGGGGCTCATTAATAAGCTCGAGAAGTACTAGGCGAGTTCTTTATAGTCCCCTCTATATTTATTAAGTCCATTAATAAAGAAATAGAGTTTGAGGTTTTTAGAAGAATAGTTAAATAGCCTTTAGAAGGCTATTTTTAGTCTCTCTAGAGTCCAGACATTATATATAAAGGGGATTTTGCTTGCAGCCAGCTTATAGCTACTGGTTCACTTATCCGGGAAGACTAAAGTAATAAGGTTTAGATATTAAGAAAGGATATTATAAAGAAGTAATTTAAAAAGACTCTCTAATAACTATTAATTCAAGATTCCAGCTTTCCAGAAGAAGTAGTTCGGGATCTTAATACGAGTACCTCGGGCCCATATTCTATATAATTCTCTTATTTCCTTGTAGTTAATAAGGTATTTCATTAAAGTTAATTTCCCCGATCCTGCTTTCCCACTTAACTAGTAGACTCCGTTACTAGATTAAAGCCATTAACGAAAACTGCTCCAAGGCTTCGTTTCGGAATCACTCCATATTTACTTGAAAGTTTTTTAATAGGCTTCGGGGATTATTTCGAGCCGAAATTTCATTGTCTCAAACCGCAGGCTCTAGAGTAGACTAAGCTAAATATAGAGGTCGCATGCTTTTTTATCTTCTTTAATAGTCTTAGAATCCCGAGAATTAATTACCTCGGTAATGTCCTTAAGCATAGTCTTGAAAATTTGTCCTACTATAGGTAAGCTTATTACTATATAAATCAGGTAAAACTCATAGAAGGTTTTAACTAGTACATATAAGACTTATGACTATTAAGAATAGCAAGTATAATTTCTCGAGTTCTGCTATCTAATGCCTTAAATAAGGGATTAGAATACCAAGAATTCTTATATAGAGCTAATTTTTTTTACTATCGGATGGCTTAAAATTTGCAGTATATAACTATTAATTACATATATAATCACGTTTTTATTTCCCAAGTAAACCACAATAATACTTGGCAGGGTAATTTCGCTATATCTTTAGTTATATAGCAAGACGTCAGGATTACTAGGAACCAGAAGTAGCCCTGCCTAAAAGTCTTCTAATACTTGAGATCGAGGCTTTTAGCTATTTAATAGATTATAATTTTGGTAAAGAATTTATAACGTATAATAAAGAAAACTACTCTTATATTTCTTCTTCCTATATCCTTTCTTCTCTTTTAACCGAATCATTTTATCCTTATACGGAAAGTTGGCTAATTTTATTACTATTTGCTATGCTCCAAGTTTGTAGTATAGTAGCTATTAATTATATAGGCGACTATATATTATTCCCTAATTAGCCAAACCTCTAATTTCTGAAATATAATAATATTTACGTAAAAAAGTTATATTATTTAGATAAAAGTAATTAAAGCTAACTTCTTTCCATATATTATTAAATATACTAATTATATTATCTTATATTAAAATAATATATACCGAGCCATTATTAAATAATAGTAGTTTACTACTAATAATTATATAAAACTATTAATACTATTATAAAATAAAAATTAATTAAGATATACTAGTAATACTCGGTAGAAATTTTGCTTATTTAGCTTCTAGAATTCTTTTTAAAGAAGCTAGCTAGCGCAATTTATATATAGCTTTAATAAGTCTAGAAAATAAATAATTATTTACTAGTATTACTTAAGAAAGAAATTTGTTTTATATATTAATCTATATATTACTAGCCGGCCCTATATAGCCCCAAACTATATTTAAAAAGTTTTATATATAATATATAGTATAGCGTTTATACTAACTTATATCTCTGCTTTCCTATATTCTTATATTCCTCTTAAATTACAAATTGGGTTAGCGCCGGCCGCATAAGTTTACTTATAATAAGAGTACTTTATATTACTTAATAAGGGCAGAAGTATACTATATATACCGGCCCAGAACTTAAACTATATAGCTTTATAAGGGCTATTAGTAACTAATTTATTATTTTCTATAGGCTTTAAACCCGTTACCTAAGGTTCCGTATCGAGATTCTTTATTTTACTAGATTTAAGGCAAACTCTAGCCTAATTTATCTCTTTACTTTTATAATAGATTAATAAATTAACGAAAACATATAATTTTAGTTAGAGTATTATATTTTAAAGGAATTGCTTATTAATAATAAGATAACTTTACTTAGCTTTTTAAAAGAACCTTATAAGCTAATTATATATAGTATATTAAGAAATATTAATAATATCTTTTAAAACTATTTGAAAGGCATAATAATAATACTAAAATTATAGCCTTATAGGAAAATACATTATCTAATAACAAGAATTCAGAATTCAAGCCTAATTTACTGCCCCGGAACAAGAATTTATTATCTAAAAATAAGAATTCCCGAATATTTAAACTCGATTTCTTATATTTAATTAAACCCAAAAATATTAGCATTTTTAAAGAATATTATAAAGGCACTCAAATAAAACTATTATAGTTTTTTATAAATTTAGTCTTTAGTAAACTACTATAAATATATATATAATATAGAAATATATTATAAATTTAATAATATCTTATAAAAATTACTAGTAACTTTATATTATAATCTTATCTCAGAATTTAAAGCTATAAAACAGTAATATTTCTGGGTTAAAAGTAGTAGTATTACTATTATTACTACTATAATTTATAAATTAGATATATATAACTCTAATATTATTCGGGAAAAAAGTAATAAGCTAAATAAGAGTTAGTTAAAGATATTACAAATTTATAAAGGCCTTATATTCTAAATATATAATTCTTTTTTCTGAGAAACTTAATAACCTTATATAAGTTTTATTATTTATTTTTAGAAAAATATCTAAGTTTTTAGAAAGCTAGAAGTAATATATACTAGTTAAAAATAATATATTTATTAAAATAATCCGGTTTCTTTATAATCTTGGTATTATTAATAAATACAAGAAAAAAAGCTAGAATAATTTAAATAATAAAATCCTATAAACTCTTTATATATATTTTCGAAGTCTTATTTCTTTTTAATTTAGCTAGTAATCCCAAATCGGATTAGCTACTAATTTCTTACTTGTACTAGTTATTAGTAATACTAATATATATAAATCTAAATAATTAATATTTAGTTATAAGCAAGTAAATAATATACTATTAAGTAAAATTCTTAATTCAAGAATATTATTAAGGCTAGCCGCAAATAATCTAATTAAAACAAAATAGCTAAATATAATTCAAGTATAATATTTTAAAGACTATATTCAAGATATACTTTTTAACTTCTATAAGTAAATGCTTTTACTTTAGGCTAGAGCTAATAAGTTCTAGACCTGAATTTCCTTTATAATAATTAAATAGTTTTTAAATATAATATATATTTTATTAACTTTTTATAAACTTTATATAATAGTAGCCGTATAATTAATTTATTTCTTAATTCTTTTACTTCTTATTATAAAGAATACTTTTTTAAGAGAAGTATTAAAAAGAAGCAAATAAAATATATTAAATATAAATATATTATAGTAATTATAAAAGAAGTTTAATATAGAATTATAAAAGAAAATATAAGCTCTTTTATTACTATTATTATAGTACTTCTTTTTTACTATATAACTCTTAACCTATTATTATATTCTTATTATTAGATAAAGTATCTCTATTTAATATAAGATTTAGCTAAAGTAAATATTAAAGCGAATTTAACTATAGCAAATATTACTATATTAGTAATAATAGCTCTTTTATTAAACGAGAAGTATATTTTCTAATACTTTAACTATAATTAAATATAATTAGATAAGGCAAAGCAATTAACTAAAGTAAATAATACTTTACTTTATTTACTTAATTAGAAAAAAAGCAAAGATATATATTATAAAGCAAGAGGCTATTAACTAATATCTTAAGTACCTTAAATATAAAATACTAAACTATTTATATAATAAATTAAGAAATCCCCTTAATAAATAAATCAAATAAAAAGTAATATACTAATACTTATTATATTAAATATTATAAAAACATATAAATTAACTATATAAGTATATTATTTTATTTGGCTTTTTAAGTATAATTCCCTTATTACTCTAATCTTTTTTAAAGACTTGTTATCTAATAATTTAAAGCTATAATTCAGAGTATTCTATTATTAAGTAAGCTTATACTTTACTTATTTCTAAGCTTTATAAATTGCTAATAAAAGGTCCAGAATATAATAGTATTTATTTGACCTAGTATTTTTTTATTACTTATATTTATATATAAGAAATAAAGAATTATATTAAACTTATTAATACCCTAAATTATATTATAAAAAAGAATAAATCTATAAGTTTTAACTCAAATAATAATTTAGATACTATTAATATATTTGAGAATATTAATAATCTATATACTTTTATTAAATAAATATAAAATTTATAAGCTAAGAAATAAAAGAGCTCAAATATATATAATTAAAAACCTTAATAATAAAAAAGATTAGTAAAATATATTAATTTAAAATAAAAGTTATTATATATCTTATTTAATTTTATAAAGCTTATACTTAAACTTTTAATAATATCTTATTATAAACAAATATTTTTTCCTTAATTTTATTTTAATTTCATCTTTTTAATACTTTACTTTATATATCCCGAAAATAAATTTCTATAATATTTCTAAATATAAGTAAAAACTTAAATAAATAATATAAATTACTTATAGTAAGATATAGTCCTTGAATTTCTAGTATCTAATCTAGAAAAGAATATTATTTAGAAATTAGAAGTTCTCTAATAAATATAAATATTTTATTATAATTTATAAATATAGTAAGTAATTTAATAGCCTTCTTTTTATCTCTAATATTATTTTCTCTAGTATAGTATAATTTGTTTTAATTCTCTTAATAAAAGTTATGAATTTAAGCTTATTAATAAAAGTAATAATAAAGGTACTTATACTAGTAATTTAAAGTACTTTTTATTAAATAGCTAGAGGTATTACTTCTTCTATAATATATTAGATATTTAAATTAAATTAATAAACTTAAATATACTCTACTTTATAACTAAAATTAGTATTAACTTAAATCTTTTATATTTATTTTTATTAAAAGAAAAGATTACAATACTAATAATAATAATAATAAAGAAATTATTTCGAAAATTATATGAAAATTGAATTCTCGAGCTTTCGAAAAATACTAGAGTTTAAGAATCTATAGCTATAATTATTATTTCGCTAATATATTTAATATTATAACAAATATTATTTATAATAAGAAACTTGAAAATATCTTTTTATTAATATATTATATCTTAATTTACTACTTTTATAACTATTACTTTTAAGATAAAGACCAAGTTAATTACTTTAATATTTTTTATAAGCTATAATTTCTCTCTAATATCTAACTAAAATAAATCCCGCAAATAAACTATATTTATTAAATTCTTTATCTTAATTAATTGCTTTTC